AGAAGATTTTTGAAATTTTAGTCAATTTGACCCTTTTTGGCCCCGCCCCTCAGGTCCCTGGGGGCTTGGGACTAAACCGGCCACTGTTTTTGTTGACCTTTGTCCATGGAAGGTCCCTGCAAAATTTCATTGAAATTGGTTCAAGGGTTTTGGAGAAGAAGATTTTTGAAATTTTAGCCAATTTGACCCTTTTTGGCCCCGCCCCTCAGGTCCCTGGGGGCTTGGGACTAAACCGGCCACTGTTTTTGTTGACCTTTGTCCATGGAAGGTCCCTGCAAAATTTCATTGAAATTGGTTCAGGGGTTTTGGTGAAGAAGTCGAAAATGTAAGTTGTTTATGGACGTACGACGGACGACGGACGACGACGGACAAAAGGCGATCGCAATAGGTCACTTGAGACTTTGTCTCAGGTGACCTAAAAACTATTAAAAGTTAAATTTTAACACGGTAATACAGACAACGCAACAAGAACTGAAATAAAAAGGATTTATAAATGTATGTATTTGGAGTGGGGGCTTATCAACTTAACTCTCATATGGTTCGATCTGTGCAGATGCCTCTTCAGCCTTCTCCATCTTGATTGAGATCAGAATCTCTGCCTGGAACCAATATCTTTTCCCTGTCTTTTAATTTTAAAAAACCTTTTATTATAGTTTCCTTTCATTTGAGATGTTGGCTCGTGACATAATTTTTTCTTCGTTCTTTTAAAAGGAATATTCAGAGTTTAATACTGTTAATCCTTACTTTGAGAGCAAACTAAGATAATAAAGGAGCGGTTAGGGACTATATATATATCACATATGAAGTTCATTCCCGAGTTACCTAGTAATTCTTTAATATTTTGCAGCCATTTAAACTTAATGACGTTATTTTCGTGTAACTTGTACATGATTTTGTAAATTTTGCCTGAGAGCTTATCATGACAAGTGACTAGATTATACCAAAACATTATCATTTTATAATTCATTTCAATCTGGATAGGATATCTTCCCTTTTCTCCGTACACCATGTAATTAGCAGTGCTCCTTCTAAGATTTAGCAGTCTTTTACAAAACTGTAAATGAATCTTTTCAATTGAAGTGTTATTTTCAAATCCCCAAACCTCTGCACCATATATTAGAACTGGCAACACTATTGAGTCGAACAATTTTGACTGGAGATCAATTGGTAAAGGAATATTTCTATTTTTTCCTGCGTACTGCAAATAATGCTTTTTGAGCCTGTTGAATTAGTCGTT